CCCCCCCCCACCCCGCTTTGACAGAAAACGTCAGAGTAATCAATGACAACAAAGGGAGGCGGAGTCTGCGGGGGAGAGAATGATGATCCTGTCAATGGAAGGTCGTGACCTCTTCACACGCAGGCCAGCGGCAGGGGTCACATAGAGCTCATATTAACATTAAGTGTGGGGTCACGCTGGTGTCGCGAGCTGATAGCAGAGCGGCTCGGCCGAACCGGGCGGGACCACCGGGTGGTCAGCTGGTCGGACAGAATTTGACCTCACAGACAATAAAAACGAGTGACATCAGAGTTTTTCTCTCTAAAACTGAAACACATCATGATTGCGTGGCTCAGTGGATAGAGCTGTTGCCTCCCAGCAAGAAGGTTGCCGGATTGAATCCCGACCGGGGACTTTTCTGGGTAGAGCCTGCATGTAATATTTTAAAATGTTCAGTTTTTCTTCTTTTCTTCTTTTGCTGCTTTTATCTTTTATCTGTTGTTTCATTACCTTTAGCTTTTAGCTAATCTTTGCCACTTTTGGGCTGTTGCTAACTTTTTGCTACTTTTTAGCTATCATTTCACCACTTTTATCTCCTTGCATGGGTGGGTTTTCTCCCACAGACTAAAAACATGAATTTAAATTGGTAACTCTAAATTGTCCCTAGGTGTGAGAGAGTTAATAGTTGTTTGTCTCATTTGTCTTTAAGTGTCCCTGTGATGGACTTACAACCTGTCCACAGTGTACCCTCACACAGTGACCCCTGTGACCCTGAAAGGAAGGAGCAGGTAAAAGGTAATGGATGGATCCTGACGGCTCTGCTTTTATGACTCTTTTTATTCTAAAACTGAGGTTTTAACTCACCTGCTGAGTGAGCCCAGCAGGTGAGAAACTGCAGATTTAAAAATCACATCAGGTTTGTTGAAAACAAAAAGAAAACAACAAACATGGATTTAATTTTAGCTCAGAGCGCCGCCACAACTAAACTTCTCTCACATGACGTCCACATCAAGCAGATTAGATTAATTCTCTGTGAGTTTCTGTAACTGAGAGGCTGCATGAATTCCTGCCGTCTTGTGATCGACAAATAATCTGTTGTTTCCCAACATTTCATCTGAAACGCTCCATGACTCGAGGTGAAACAGAGCAACGCAGCTGCAGTGAACAGGAAGCACTGAACAGAACGACATGAAACGGTTAAAAAGAAAAGGTAGAGTTGTCGAGTATTTTAATGTTGTTTTCTGCATCTCCATGCCACAGCCTGGAAATAAATCTACATTATTTTAAAGGCTTTGCAAACTATATATATA